AAACTTGACAGCTTTAAGACTTGTGGACTTCAACTCCCTGAATTTTTCCTCCAGTCATGTTGGCTCAGGAACTCTGGCATTGAAGTGTGCAAATCTTAAAGCTTCAAGTTACAAGACCCTTGCACCCCTAACCCTTAAGAAAATAACCCCAGGAATGTTCAAACTTGACAGCTTTAAGACTTTAAGGTTTAGATAGGACTCTTAGAGGCGGGTGAGGCGATTGGTGAGCCAACCAATCAGTGAGTGGTGGGTGGGGCAAGCGTTGTGCGGACGGGTCGGGGGATGGAGCTGGAACCGGTTCTAAATGGCACGGTAGATTTGTGGAACCTCTTCTATAGAAGAGGTTAGAACTGGCAGGAACCTACCTCTGATCTGTATCTATCATAGTTTCCATGTTTTCATTAAAAGGATGTTTGCCTATTTGAGATCTCAAATATCAGGATGATATCGAAAATGCTTGGGAATTGTTGAGTTACATTCAAGCTATCAAAAAGGTATATTAAAAGCCATATCCAGGTTTTTTGTTACCTCTGCCACCACTTTCCCAAAACTTTCTTAAATGTATCAAATATAGGCATTTTGCTAAATATCTTGGGGTTCAATATAAGTGCACTTGGGAAAGATGAAATAATTACTGGAATTATCAGGGCAACATTGGTATTTCTGTTAAATGATGGTGAAGGTCTTTCTGTTAAAAGGATATAAGATTCTCTCCTACATTTATTGAAAATTGGGGTCTTGTTTTCCTGCCTTTTTATGAATATTTCTTGTGTACATTATACTTTGCAGTTAAAGTTATTATCTGGCTTTGCTTTATTCAATAAACTGTACCATTTCATCTAACATGTGCAGATATTTTTTCCTAATCCATGAGCCTTCTGTTCAGTTTTGTTTAGCAAAATAGAATGATCCCATACTCTTACAAATTGTTGAAAGTAAAATTGAGTCTGTTTCCAAGCTGGGAGAAGGATGCAGGAGAAATGAATTTGGAGGCAATCTGCAATTGGAAAGCAGGTATCCATTTATTAGGGACTCGGAAATGAAGTGACACAGCAATCAGTTCTGGGATAGCTAACAAAACATCTGGTGAATGAGTTGGTTTTTATATGGTTCTAAGGCTTTGTGATTAGATGCCCAGGTTCATTGTGAAATGTACACATATCTATGTTTGAGTGTGCTCTTTTAATATTCTAATTATTGCTGCTTGGCTTCTATTGTAGCTGAGAGATCATACCTTATTATTGTAGCTGGGTGTGGAATGTAGACTTTAGGTGTCTTTAGTCTCTCTGCTTTTTAATATGATCGGTTCCAGCCTTCTGTGGAGGCTGTAGCTGAGGGCATTTTGTTTATGAATGAGTTTGTGAAAACTAAATATCCATTCATAGAGAATGGTTACTTGATTGGTTTTACTTCAGGGAAGTCTTTTCTCTTCAGGGTGTGGGTGAATTTCTTTGGTAATATGGGGGCTTTATTATATTAAAAAGGGGTGTGTGGTTTCTCCCTACAAGATTTTTCTAATTCCAGATACATTTGAAGATATACATATATAACATAAGTGGCACGGGTATCACAATTCTGCTGTATTGACTTCATCAATGTCATAGCCTTTGCACCCATCTATGGACACTGCTGCTTTGTTTTTACCTGCTTAGCAGAGCATCTGTATCTTGTACTTCAGAGTATATGCCCTGCCCTTCCAATGATATGTTAATCTTTTCTTCATTTTCAGTTAAGTCTTTATTCTCTTCTAACTAGCCAAAGCTGTGCAGTAGTCAGATAAAGAGAGATGGTTGGTCACCTTAACAATCTGCCTCTAGGGGTATTCTTATTCCAGGGATGTGCAGTCGGGGGGGGGGGCAGGGGAGGCACAGCCTCACCACTGTCAATCATGAAAAGGAAAAAAAGATTAACATATCATTGGAAG